TTTTGAAAAATTACGATCGTGTATACTTAGGAGAGATTTTATTTTATGTGTAGAATTAATAGGTGACCATTAGAGAGAAAGGAAAAGTAAAATGTCATAGTTAATAGTACATGCTTAATCACCGGAACATGATCATGTATAATGATAACTGTAAGTAATCTCAGTTATGAAGGTTTACTTTTCGTAAAAGCAACAAGATTAACAAACGATAAGTGTAGCACGTTTATTCAATTCTTAATTCTTTCTTCTGTAATTTTATGCAAATATCATCATTTGACATTGTTGCGTTTTGTTCAATTAATACTTATTCAAAAAAGAAAAATAATAAGAAAATTATTTTTTTTTTCTTTTCACTAACTGTTTAATGTTAAATCATTGATTAACAATTAAAAAAACAAAACGAAATAAATTTCTAATGTTTTATTAAATAATAATGATAATAATATGTATATATTTTTGTTTTTTTTGATTATAATCGAACAGATTCTCTTTGTCGTGTATCATTAAAATGTTGTTCTTGTATACTTTGATCATTAATCATTTTTCGTACATTTTGTAAAACTTGTTTACTTTTAGCTGGTGATTTTATTTCATTTCGTTTCGTTTGTTGTGATGGTGAACTATTAGTTTTGCTATTTTTAATTTTTAATAAAGATGTATTCGTTCGTAATGATGTTGATGTTTGTCGTGGATGATGTTCTTTATCTAAAGAAAAACTTCCTAAACATGATTGATGTTTAATAATTTCATGATTTTGATTTATTAAATTTGACATAGGCATTGATTGTCGACGTTGATTTGAATTAATTAAATCTTTACTTTTTTCACTACTATGTGTATCTGGATATGTTGATGTTGACCATTCAGATGATATTGATGATGATATACTACTAATTGTATCATTATGATTTTCTTCAGTTATATTAATATTACTTGATGGTGTTGGTGATGATTCTTTAATTTTTTTTGTTTTATTAAATAATTTTTCTAAATGTGTAGGTGAATGAGATGAATGATTTTCTTTTGATTTTTGTTTAATTGATGATGATGATGATGATGATTTTTTCTTTGATTTCATACGATTTTTTTCATTTGTTTGTCGATCAGATATATGTGTTTCACAATCAAATTCTGTATCATCTGGTTTAATAATTTTTCCACTATTATTAAGTGCTGTTTTTGATTTTCTAGATACAATAAAAATTGAAACGAAATAATTAGTATTGAAAAAAAAAAACAAATTTTTTTTTTTGTTTTTACGTTTTTTTATGTTGTTGATGACGATCATTGATTGTTTGTAATGGAAAACGTTTAAAAATTGCTCCTTTTTGTGTTACACGGATACTTTCAACTCGTCTTACAAATAATTTATTTATTTCTTCTTGATGATGTTTTGTTCCTGCTAATTCTTGTTCACATATTGGTAATGATTGACGTTTTTTTCTTGGCATACAAATTATTGGTATACATCGACTGAGTAGTCGAACCATTGCACTACTCAATTGAACACTTAGTCAATAACTATTTAATGCATGTAAAAGAGAGAAAAAAAGAAGAATTTGTGTCATCTCGTTTTCTTCTTTTCTTTTTCTTCTTTTTTGAACAAGAATTATGTAATCCAAATCGACGAACAAATATGCAAGCTTACGGAGAGATGGGCTCTCTTGTTAAATGAACATAGTAAAAGATACAAAAGAATGTTGACCTCTTCAATTGACATTAGACACTGAGTTTCGTTTTTTTCTCTTTCTAACAGTAACATTTAACACAATATATTCTATTTTCAATGTAAATTGATAAGTGTCACTTGTATTATCAGATGATCTTGTCTTGTATCTCAAAGATTTTCAAAAAGGTCAGATACTTGTATGAGATCATATAGAAAAAGTGATAGTTATTCTTTTCTTTTTTTTTGTTGTCTCTTGTGAACTATAGCTTTTGTTGTCTAAATATTCGATTCGAAGACAATAAAATCAATAAGCCGATAAACTTGTTCTTTTTTTTTTTCTTAATGGATAAATATATAGTTTAATCATAAGACTCATTATATAAATACAGATATAATGATATAGTCCTAATGAGTTCATTCTTATGTGTATCGAAATCAATTAATATTTGAAGATAAGTTCTTTTGTAATAGAATACGATATTCCATTGAATTTATTCCCATAGCAACGTTAATTTCAATAATTAAACAAACAAACAGTAAGAAAAATATTCTTCAAATGGTATGTTGATCAAACAAAATATGTGTGATTTTGTTACTGAGTTTTTTTGTTTTTGTTTCTTATCATGTGACTAATTACGACGTCAAAAAGAAAAGTTTCTATTAGTTATGAAATTGTCCTTGAATGATAAAATTCTCGAAGCAAACATGACAATTTTTGTTATCTAGATACACTATTATTTTTGTTGTTGTTATTATTATTCCTAGCAATATGCAATCCTTATGCAAATATAGTTAGTGACACATGATTTCGAAACGTGATGACAACGAACATTTTGCGTAGGTGTTTGTATGCCTATATTGTTGCACAACAACAACAACATAATTGAATCGTTTGATGTTGTATATAAAGACAAGCTGATTCTCATATTTTTTCTGTATTGGTATTGACCAACTCTTCACTGTATCCATACAACAGTCATATGTTACTGGGTATAGTTTGGTTTTTACCTCGACGACGTAGATCAAAGTAATGCTTCCTTCGTAGTTTCTCAGATTTTTTAATCTGAGACTATCCGGCTTTTGGACGTGTCATACTATTAAAGCAGCTCTGCTATCATTCTTCATTAGAAGAATGCACTCTGAGTTTGGTATGACAATGTCTAATTGCCACCAATGTGGTATATATCTAGTTTCGTTTGATCATATATATTAAATTAACGAATTAGATTTATTTACTCATTCGGTGGTAATTAAGAAAAATAACGTCGATTTATAATATCCAAAAGTAGGATAGTTAAAACTATGAATGATAAGTATCACTTTTATTTATGTCGTCGATGTGAAAACTTTTAATTTCATAAGAAAACAAAATTACTATTGTATGAATACAGAATATCAACAAAGTAATGTATTTAAGATCATAGAGAGAAAAGAAAAATATCATCTGACATCAGCAAGAAAAGAAACAAAAAAAAAACAATAACAACAATAATAACATATATATCTGACTAATCATTTGATGATGTTATATTTTCATTTACTACAACATTTTTTGTTTGATTTATTTGTGGTGGAATAATAAGATGATGTGGCATAGATTGAAAATAACTACTTTCAAGTGCTGATTTAGCTGTTATACGTCGATCTGGATCATAAACAAGCATTTGAAGTGTAAGTTGAAGAGCATCAGATGATAGATTACATAATAATTGAGCCATATTTTGAGGTTTCCATTGAGGAAAAGTTTTTTTATGATCAGGCATTGATGAAAAACCTGGCCATGTTATATCATCTGGTGTACCTAAATATAAAAATAATAAATTCTTTACAAAAACAAAAAAGCAAGCATTAAATATCTGTCAGAAGCAGACAAGACTGTGAAAAATTTTACAGGAAGTCCGATATTTTTGGGAAGAGAAAGCTCCTACTATCCTCTATCTAATCAGTAGAACTAAAATGTAAAATTCACTTGTGTTCTTGAGCTTCATTAGACTAATATAAAATATGGTAAGTAAAAAATTTCTAGCAGACTATAATTATTTTCTAAAGATAATCGATTATCCAGGAAACGATTTCTCTTATTTATTAAGCTCAGACATGCTCATATTAATTATTTCTCAAAGTTAGAATTTGATCAGTTCACGGTTTATATAACGATCATGGCAAATCAATGCATCTTCCTTGATATCTTAAATATAAATTTTTGATCTGCAAAATAATCCATTAGAAGATTCACAAACATATTTCAACCATTCAGATTTCGAGAAAGACTTTAGAACAATCTAAGTCTTGTGTTAATATTGTTTAGTACATTACTAAGTCTGACACCTTGCGATGAAAACATATCAAATAATTGTTGACCTTCCCTCTCTCCGTTACTATGTGACGGGCGCAAAATCTCTACTAAAAACTTACACTCACTATATTTTTCATCGAAAAACATAATATGAATTTCACAACAAATAAAAAAAAACACTTACCAAGAGTTCGAAATATTCGAAAAAGTTGATCAATTTCACATTCACCAGCAAATAACGCTCGATTATGTGTTATTTCAGCAAATATTGTACCAATACTCCATAAATCAACACTTGTTGTATAAGTTTTTGCACCAAGTAAAATTTCCGGTGAACGATACCAAAGTGTAATAACCTTTAAATTATTTTAATATAGATTAAAAGAGAGAAAAAAACAAACATTTATTTAAATATGTATATATATATACTTCATGTGTATACATTCTCATTGGCATCTGAAAGTGTCTACCAAGTCCAAAATCAGCTAATTTAAGTGAACCAATCCAATCGATAAGAACTTAATTATTAAGAAAAACTATTTATATATATTTAAACATCTTCTCAATGGTTTTGTTTTTTGTTTTACTTACTATTTTGAGGTTTTAAATCACGATGTAACATAGAATTTGAATGTATATAATCAATACCTAATAACATTTGTTTAAGATAACTTTTTGATAAATCATCTGGTAATGATTTTTGATATAATTTCATATATTCATATAAATCAATTTCCATACATTCATAAAAAAGAAATAATTCACCAGTTGGTTGATGAACTTTAATATCATATAAACGAATTATATTTGAATGTTTTAATGAACGAAGTAAACTTATTTCACGTAAAGCTGTACTTGGAATACCTTCTTCACCAAGACAAACACATTTTATAGCAACATAATGTTGTTGTCGTGTATCAAATGCTTTACGAACAATACCATATGTACCTTTACCTAATTCACAACCAACATCATATCGATCAAATAATGTAAATGTACCATTATTCATCATAATCTGAAAATGAAGATTTTTATTTAAACTATTGATTGTCCTTTTAAAATAGCAAGAAAAAGTTTAGTAAATGATAAAGAATATGATGATAAACGAATATTACAAACACGATACAATGTAATAAATGATACTGAATCAAAATAAAAATTAAAACATACAGTATCTTCAGTTGAATCAGCATAATTTATTGCTAAACGTGGTGTACCTAAAATATATAAATTAAAATAAATTTTTCAATAATCTATTCTAAAAGACTTTTTAAACAATTGTATTCAGAAATATTACATAATAAATTTTCTTTCGTACAGGTGAATCTATCTAATGAACAAAATATCTTAAATGATAAATTGCTTATGTGTCGAAATTATAGTTGCTGCGGAGATACTGCATATTTACAGTATTTTATAAGACAATGCTGCAATCCACGTCAAGAAAACTTATTTTCGATATTTCAACTTGAAACTTTGCATAGAGACAGATCCTAGCGAAAATAGCTAATTGTAAAAATTTTAGGTCTTTTGATTTGCTCTTATCTTGCGATAAGAGCATTGAATTTGTCAATATATGTATATAAGCAATGTAAAGAACACACTCTGACCATAGATATATAATAAAGATATTTTTAAATTATTGTATTTTAGTTGATTGCTGACATATTCATTGTAGAACAATTTTTGTCCGAAGAAATAATATCAATATTGAAAGAGAAATCATTAAAAAAAACTACTTTCTAAAATATATTCTATTCAATTAACCTTCTTTCAATTTTATAATTCGGATTTTTTTTTGTCGAAAGATTTTAATCACCTCTTATAATTCGAGATCCAGTAACCCATAAATAAAATTCATAAATAGGTATTTGTAAAAGAAATTGATTAATATATTGTATGAGTTTTACAGTTAACATTGTAACTGTCCAAATCTAAATTTAACAAAAAAAAATAAAAATTTTTCTATTTCTAATTAAGATGTTTTATTTTTACCGAAGTAAAAACTGCATAATACATAAATATTGATGGTAATAAAAAGAGAAGAATAGTAAATGATAATGTAACAATAAATAATTGATCAATATCACAAAGATGTGAATCAAGTCGATTATTTCTTAATGGATTTTGTTTTTTTCCACAAAATAAACGAAAAAGAATAATCAATAAACGAATTTGCCAATTAAATAATCTAAATTAGAAAAAAAAATACTAATGATAAAAGAGTTTATTTAGTTTTAAAAAAAATTAAATTTAACCTTGCAGCATAAATATAAAAACAATAAAGATGTATAGTTAATATACGAATAAAATCACAGATTGCTCCAATAGCTAATGATATACCAAAAAAACATAGAATAAATAATATTTGATATAAATAAGGTACTACAGTTATAACTAATGCTTCAAGATAACCAGACCATAGATAAATATGATAAAAATAAAATCTTGCTAGAAAATCAACTAATGGTTGATTTAATTTTAAACCAGCTGGTGCATGCAAAAGCCATTCAATTATAGATTTAATCCATGTTGTTAAATTCTATATTTAAAGATAAAATAAATTTAAACAAAAGAAAATTTTTTTTCTACTAGAAATTAACCTCAGTTTGTATTAATATTTCATTTGAAATTAATTGATATAAATCAAAATTTCGAAAAAAAATAAATGAACATAAAATTCCAATGAAAATATTCGCTAATAAATAACCAATATTAGCATGACGTCTAAATGTAAATAAATAAATAAATAAATGATTATTTCACAATCACAATTTGATAGTTTGTTAATTATTCATGAGTTTAGAATAAAGTTCGGCTTAAAGAAGATTTATAATCATAATAATATTTCTTAAAAATCTTGATGCTCTCAATTCGCTACACTACACAGAAGAATTCAAACAGAAACCAAAAAAAAATAGAGAACTATAATCGATCAATGTTTGATAAAAATTGACTGTACAGCCGCTTACGAGCGTGTTTCAGAGATGTGTATGGTTATCCTGCACATTTCTAGCATGCTTGTTCGACCTGGATATTCGGATTAAATTAAAGGTCTCACTAGTACATTAGTAAGTTTAAACTATGAGCTATTTAATGTGTCAATAATTCAAAATATTAACAAGATTAGTTTTTCTCGTTTTGTCATGATTGAATAAAACTTATTGATTTATATAAGAAAAAGTATGTTTCATCATATAGAAAAGAAAATTTTACGAACGTCAAAAGTTCGGATCTATTTTTCTTATGTAATTCGATAAGTTTGATTCAACCATGACAAAAAAGAAGAAAAATAAATCTTGTTTATTGTAAGAATATATAAAATTTTTCTTGTATTATGAAATTTTTACCTCAATTGAAAACTATTATGTCTTGCTTGTTGCAATGTTAAATATATTCCATAGACACTTTGAGCTAAGACACTATATTTCAATAGGAAATCAATAATAAATGTCTAAAATAATAATGAGGCAAGAATAAATAAAAAAAAAATTATTTTCATCAATTATTCATACATGACTTATTGATAAATTTGTCGATGAATTATTCGTATAATTTAATTGATTTTCTAAATGTTCAAAAATTGGTTGTGGTAGATTATTTTTATGACATATATAAACGATTTCAGAATTATTTTCTAATTCATTTTTATCTAATAAAACAACATTTGTTGGATTATCATTAATTAAAATATGATTTGATTGATTTTTTTGTTTAATTAATAAATTATGTTCTATTAAACAACGATTTTGACATAAATCATGATCATATTTACATAAAATTGCTTGTTGTTTTTTACATAAACATTTATTAGAAGATGAAATTAATAAATATTCATTATTTAATTCATTATTACATAAATATAGATCTTGACATTTTGTATCTAGTAGAATTTCTCGTTCGATATAGAGGATCATCTAGAATTAAATTTAACGAAAAATCAAATTAATAAGAACATATTGACATTGATTCAACAGTATTGTTTTACTAACAACTTGTTTCATGTTATGCTCTAAGAAATGACGTCAACATTGATAATCAATTAGTATAGTATACTTTTTCTTTATTTCTAATAATTTTAATTGATGTTTAAATTTAGTATGAATCAACTTATTAGAAATTCTCAAGTATGACTCGAACTCTTTATTTACAAATTAGTATATTTCTTAATATGAATAATTCATTGAGATCGATAATGAAAGGTCACATTTGAGAATTGATTTTTTGATTAGTAAACTTATTTCAATATTATCAACTAAAACGTTTGTTGTTTTTTTTTACAATGAGTCATTCATATGTAATAAAGAGAAACAATATCAAAGTTTAAGAGTTTTTGTCTTTTGACTCTTGATACATTTAGTTTGACTACACACACACACACTGATACATTTAAACATGAAAAAAAAAAGAAAAGAAAAAGAAAGAAAAAAAATTGTTCATTTTATTTCATGTCAAGGATTACGAATACCAAGTGCTTGTTCTAATTCTGCTCGTTTTTGCTGTACTTTATTATAAAAATATCGACTAACTGCTTCATATGACCATTGTTCAGTATAATATTCAGCACGTCGTTCTTCTTCAGCATTTCCTGTTGTTGAATCAGTTATCATTTTAAGATCACGTGATTGTGATGCTAACCATTTACATATAAAACCTTGAGGATCATCAGCAAATGAAAGATAAAATTCACGACTTTGTTTTAATTGATTTATACTATCAATATATTGTAAAATCTTTAAAAAATGAAAAATGAAAAATATGAATTTTTAAATTTTAATTAAAATATTTTTTACTTTTCCATCTAATTCTTCTAATTCATGTGTATTTTGTGGTGATAAAAATGTACGCATTGAATCTCGAACAGGATCATCAACTTCAACATCTATATCATAACAAGCATGTTTTTTTGGATCAGTACCAAGACTACCAAAAAAAAAAAAAAAAAAAAAATGATATAAATTCTTTATTTTTAGTATATTAATAGTTATTTTACCAGAGTGTATGATTGATGATAATAGGTTCTGATGGAAGTATAAGTTTATTAAGTTTAGCTGGTAGATCAGAAAAACGTATACGTGCAGAATCGAATATCTAAATAAATGAAAAAAATCATTTGTAAGAAATTTTATCATAATGAAATCGGAATAGTTTGATTTCTCACTAGGAAAATATATATGCTTTATTTTGATTAATTAATTTTGAGCTATATTTATCAAGTCATTTCTCATTATCTATTTTGTATCGTATAATTATTCAGCATTTAGAAATACTTTAACCTACTGTTACACATGAAAGATAATTAAGAAAAATGAACTATTAATATAAACTTCATGCTATGTCCATATAGGAAAAAAAAAACAAAAAACTTATTATCCGATGTCCGACGACTATAAATAATATATGTAATTTTGAAGTAAATATTTTCGAACAATTTTTATTTAACTCCTATGAAAGATCGTATTTAATGAAATATTTATCAAATAATAATATTCATTTAAATGATAATGAAAATAAAAACTAACCGCTTGTAAATGTACATCACAATTAATAAATTCTCGTTCTTCTGAATCTTGTAATTTATTTGTTTTAATATATTGCCACATAGCATGTATAATTGTTTGTCGTGTACCATTAGTTAATGAAAGTAAACGAGCAAGACGTGAATCAAGTCGAAATTGTGGTGGCTAAAAATAATGAGAAAATAAATTTATTGTTTATTTCTTCTTTTATTAATCTTACTGAATGATCAAGAACCATTAAAATAGTACATTTAACATTTTGATCACCTGGTCGACGAACTTGAAATCCATCAGTTTCTGCTGTTGCATTTGTACGATGCCACTAGAAATTCATATATATATTTTATTTTTCTATATTGTAGTTTAAAATATACTTCAACAAGATGATTATCTGGTCCATATAAATCTTTATCTAATTCAATAACAAGACTTCGAAAAAAAGATGAAAATTTACGTTTTGTTTTTCCTTGATCATATTTATTTGTATTTGGCTAAACAAAAAGAAAAAAAAAAGAGAAAAATTTTTCTCCTTTTGAATTTATTATATTTATATTCAATATACATCATCAAGAAGACGACCTTCAACGCGCATTTCCCAATATTGCACTTGTTCATCATCGATACCAGTTGTATCTGAATCAAAACGAACTGGATATTGATGACTAATAAATATACGTAATTTCTTTTTTATCTAAAAATTTTGAATATACAAAAAAAAACAATAAGAATATTCTATTAAAAAAAGATATGTCATACTTTTTGTGGTCGTTTAAGTGTTTCTTGAATATCAAGTCGTTTTCTCATTAAAACAGAATCTAATTTTTGTTCAAGACGTAATAATTCAATATAAGCTTGAGATTCAGGCACAAGTGAACGTATTTGTTTATGAATAACTTTTTCTGTTAAACGTTTACGTTTTTTTCTATAAGAAATATATTTAAATAAATAAAAACAAAAACAAAAACAAATTAAATCAAGAATTTTTTTTGTTTTCGTTACTGTCTTATAGGACCAGCATTTGACGGAATAGCATTTGGCATCATTGGTTGACTTGGACCCATAACATTTCCATAGGGCATTTGTGGTGGTTGTTGTCCTGGTTGAACCATTGGTTGTTGACGAAGATCATTTGAATAAGTTGATCGTTTACTTTTATCATAGAGTGCTGCACGATTAACAACACCATATGGACTACCAATAGGTCGTGCCATCATTGATGATTGAGGTGATTGTTGAAGCATTGATGCTTGCATTGGTGATGAAGCAACCATTGATCGCATTGATGGTACACCGACAGCAGTATTTGGTTGAGGTACAGGAGATGGATTCATCATTGTTGGAGGACGTTGCATCGGTGATGATTGTTGCATTGGATTAGAATACATGGTTTCGTTGTTTTGATTTTTCTTTTTTTGACAAGGAGATGCGTTATATTCTGGTTAACTAAATAAGAAGACTACCATTGTTCACTCTTGAATTTTATTAGTTTATTTTTTACGTATAACACTGGGTCATTTAATAGAGGGCAGTAGAAGTCAGAATGTTGATATTGATATGTGAAATATTTAATCGTTTGTAAATTATTTTAATGATTTTTGATAATACAAAATTTATCTTTAATAAAAAAAACAAAAATAGATAGGTGAAGCATATATTTTATTATAATATATCAAAAAAATATGTTCTTGCATCAAGACATCAATGGAGAAAAACCATATTTTATGGTTTCTTATTACGCATAGAAACTGTTGAGTGTAAACAACTAAATATAGATATAGCTTGAAAACTAGTTAATATTCAAATAATTGTACTGGTTTTAGACATCCATCATTTCTGATGTCTTTTTATTACTTTAATTCGAAGTCTGTGATAAACAGGTTTGACAGACTTTGAAAAAAAAAAGACTTGATATGATTGGTTTTTAATATATCTATTTATACCTTTCGATAAATTTTACTAATAAGTATCGATTATATTTTATTCATAATTTATTAAAATACTAAAGTCTACTAGAAAAAATATAGGATTTAATCAATACAAATATAAAAAAAAGTCGAGTTTATTCATAGATCAATTAATATTTGTAATTTTTCAATGTCTTAACATTATATGAACTAATATAACTCTTGAAGCCAGCAATTGATATACTCATTTTTGTTATATCAGTTGCTATTGTTCCTGTCATTAAATAGCTGTCAATTCACTAATAACACTCGTAGCTGAAAAATCAAATCGAACAAGAACAACTAGAACTTTGAATGTACTTGTAACAGTTGCTTATCCTCCATTCAAACTTATCATAGAGTGTAGTCGGAGATCATTGCAATTCAATTGATCAACAATGAATACGAAAGAAACAAGTATATATTTTTCCTTGATTCGAATTGTAAGAATCATAATCAATAAATCAACAAAAAAGATAATGATAGAACTGTGATTTAGTTGCAAATATACACAAATTCAAATTCTTCAATAATCATTAAAGTAAACATATCGGATGAAATCACTCGTGAGAACTGACAGAGAACGTCACAGAATACCCCAGTCACTTAATGGATCGTAATCGAATGAAGTTCTGGTCTTGTAATGAAACATCACGATATGTTTCATTATTATTAATAATAACCAGAAGAGTACATGCTATATTAGAGACTAGTGCTTCAACAGAAATATTTATTCTGGCATACGAGAAATTCAAGAAAAAGAAAACTTGTCATGTCTCGTTGTTCGTCTGTTAATATTAATTACATTTTCAATGCTATATCTTTATACTTGTTTGATTTACTTTATAGATGTCAAAAATTATTTTTATTGTTTATTTCATTTCCGCCGAAAAGTATGTGATAAGTAATTTTGTATAAATAGTACGTCTATGATATTTAACATCATACATCATATATACCCAAATTTTTATCCTTGTCAAAGATGTAATGAAAAGATTGTCCTACAAAATGCACAGCAGAATGAAGAAAGCCAACTTGTGACGTTCTCTAATCATTGTCTATTTTTATTATTAACATATAGAATCATATTCATGTATTAACAATTAAATAAAATAAAAACAAAATTTAGTTGTCGATAGATAGCGCTGAATGTCGGAGAATTTAAAAAAAAAATCAAAGATAAATTCTAATTAGTTCTTATTAATTTTAAGGAAAGTTCTATTTTTGAAATTAAATATATAATTATATATAAGAAAAAAAGCTTATTCCCAGTAATAATCACTATTGACAACGGAAGTAGAACATTAATCAGCTTTGCATTTTGTCAAAAAATTTCTTATTTGAAAGCAATGGTAATTACACGTACAATATTTAATATAAAAATATATAATTATATATTTTTGTTTTTATTTCTAGCCACATCGATCAACTTCACGCAATCGATCTCAATCAAGGTTATTATTTATTTTTGAAAAATTTCAAATATCAAATTTTTTTGTTTTTTCTTTAAAGATCATCACGACATGATCATCGACGACATTATCGATCACCTGTTTCATCTCGACAATATCGAAGTCCTAGTAATGAACGTGATGCTAAAGATGATATTGAACGTCTTAATCCAGCACCAAGTAAAGTTCTCGGTGTTTTCGGATTATCATCACGTACAGAAGAACGTGTTGTTCGACGAATTTTTTCAAAATTTGGACGAATTAATAATATTCATATTGTTTATGATCGAGGAGTAAGCTTTTCATCTCTATATTGTTATTTATTAATATTTTATAAAATAAATTTTTTTTAAAGACAGGTCGATCTCGTGGTTTTGGTTTTATTTATTATGATAGATTAGAAGATGCTAAAGATGTTAGTAAAATTTTTTAATTTGATTATTTTTTTTCTTTTCTAATGTTATTAATTTCAAAGGCAAAAAAAGAAACACATGGAATGGAGATTGATGGTCAAAAGATTCGTGTTGATTTTTCATTGACTGCTAGACCTCATGATCGAACGCCTGGCATTTATATGGGAGTAGCGTAAGTGAAAATTCTTGTTTTTTTTTGTTTATCTAGTACTACTAATTATTTTTATTGTTGTATTTTAGTGAAAATCGAAATTCTCGAAAAGATTATAGATCATCACGCCGATATCCTAGTCGATCACGATCACCACCACCACGTAAGTTGTGATATTAATCATTATTCTTTATCTATGAATGATTTTCTTTTTTGTAGGTCGTCGATCTCGCTCATAAAATGACAAGAAAAATTAATTTAAAGTATGATCATAGTTTTTCTATTATTGTAGATGAAGAAACTTAGGTTGAAGTTAATTTTGTTCTTCTTGTTCATCTAATTCTAAACTATACCTCTAGAATAATAGTAATTGACAATTAATCTATTTTATTAGTTTAAAAAAAATCCTCTATAAAACAATTAGTTATTTTTTTGTTTGTACGATAATCTCCTACTGTATATAGGTAATCAGAGAATATTGGTATTCCTGTGTCTATCCGATATTTGAAATATGAAGAAATGATTTTTTAGTTCAATAAGAAAATAATTCATATGAAAAATAAAAACTTATCGGAACAAATTCTAACGGAGATGAAGATTGAAGTTGAAGTTACAAATATTTTAAATTTAGCAAATTGAAGATGAAGAAGAAGATGAATGAAGGTTTTATTTTATTGTTTTATAAATAACATAAGGTGGTATGTATTTTATTCCCCAATGATATTCCAATGTTGTTTAGATATGAAATTTTTTTGTGAAATTTTAAACTAATTCATTTTTATTTTTCTATATATAGGCTGACGAGAATATTGTGCAATAAAATAAATATACATATATATATATTCAAGAGAAATACTCTCCATTTAACTAACGAATAAATCCAGATTATGGTTTGGTTGATAATTTAACAATTGTGTTTTGTGTTTGTTTGTTTTTTTTTAATTAATAATTTTATTGAACAATAAAATAATGAAAAAAACACATTTTCCAATTGATAATGGATTCAAAAGAGAAATTTACAGATTTCATAAAGGATATATAAGCCATGTCAGACAAAACGAAACATACTCATCTTTCATTTGAGTTGAAGTTTTTACAAGGATTATTTTTGCTGAATAACTGCTTTTCGCGCACACACAAGTGTAAAAATGTTGACTATTAATTTAAAAATTAGTGAATATCTTTCTAACCATATGAGAAAAAAAAACTAACATAGGAAAATTGCAGAATAGACTCTATAGTATGAATTGCTGCATCTATTGTGGAATTTTTAACAAGATCGAATTCCTCAATTCGGTTATAAGAGTATTTTTTTCGTATTCCGTCACATCACTAACGAAAAGTAAATCGATTCTTTTTTTGAAAAATCTTTATTTAGAGATTTTATAGCTTCAGAAGTTGTCTACAAAATGTGTACTATTTAGTTTTTCAAAAATGCTGCTTCAACTTGGAGTTTTTTAAAATTAAAATCAATGAAATGAAAGTTGATGTCCTTTTTTTATGTCGGGTGAGTTTTTCACTGATAACTCCTCTGAACAAAGGTCTCTAATGCTGATTTTTTCAGAACATCTGGAGTAACTTCACATACATGTAACATATAAAAAATTAACTCTAGAAAAGTTCATCATCCTGAAATACATGTATTTTAATTTTGTGAAATCATATTCGCCAACGATTGATTTTGCTCAAATATGCATTGATAGTCAAAGATGAATATGATTTCAAAATATTTTGTATATATTTAAAACTGTTAGAAAAATTTCAATGGTCAATTTTTTTTGCTTGTAAAATTGTTGAAAAGTTTTCATAAATCGATTTTCAAATTATCTCAATGAAAAGGATTATTATTTTGAGTAATTTTATTTACAAAAATTTTTTTTTTTTTTTTTATACACAGTAATGAATGTAGGTGAGTAACATAAATAAATGCTGCTTCTCTTTCAACCTGCTCTAGAATAAAACATAACTTTTTAGAAAATTAAATTTTTCCAGAGTAACAGAAATTGTCTTGTGTTGAAATTAATTTATCAAATGAGATGATCAATTATATAAACCTTAGTGATCAACACAAACAACTCATTCATAAATAAAGAATCAGTATCAATTTAATATTGAAATTATAATAATCGATGATAAATAGCATTTGTACCCAGAACAATCACGTGCAACCGTCTCAAATAACATATTACTGCCCTATGTTTTATCATCATATGCCATCCCATCTAAGAGGCTGACAACAAACGGCAATATCATGACATCTATTTTCATCATTTTATATCGTTTATGGTGTCGTTTTCTTAGCCCTACATACAGATAGAAAAAAACCTTTCAATACTCATCCAAATTGTGATATGCCTATCAATTTATCGTATCTTTTTCACTTCGATAAGAAAAATCCTTGTCGACAGTACACGGTATTAAGATAACATTAGACTATCTATTGAAAAGACATTTTTTTTACAACAATAATCTTTCAATGAATAGCTATTTAAAAGATTTCTTTTCTTACTCTTCAAAACTTCTGTCTAATCATCCGAAACACACACACATATATATATATTTATACACGATAATGACTCAGCAAACTAATCTGTATTTATTATATAATCTATATCCCAATGAAATATGTATTTATATAAATTTTGAAGAATATATTGTTTTTTTTTTTTGTTTAATATGTGAACATATATTCAAACGATAGCGAAGAACAAAATGTATATATTAAGCAACCAAACGATTAACACAACAGATACAATTAGTAATATATGATGAAAAAAACTTGGATCATGCTTTTTATTGTTTTGTTTTAGTGATCTAAATATATAGAATCGAAAGAAAGAAACAAAAATGTTCATGTTGATTGTTTGAAAAGAAAATTTTAATCATCAAGTTCTTCTTTATCAAAAATGTATTCTCCAAGACCAGGACCAACACGACGTAAGTTTGTTATATAACCAGCATATTCTTTAATTGATTTAACCTTTTAAATAAAAAGATAAATTTAAAAATAATAATAAGAATAATAAATATTTTATTACCTGTTCTTCAAGAAATTCTCCTTCAAGATAATCAGTCAAATGTGGATCACTAAATAAATTACATTATAATAAATTATAATAAAAAAAAAAAGAAAAAAAAATCTTACTTATGTTTACAAGCAAATGCATGTAATTCAAGTAATGCTTGATAAACATCTTTTTCCAATTGTAATGCTGTTTCATGTGCTTCAAGAGGTGAACTCCAACTTTGTTGTACCGGTTTCTATTAATAATCATTATTTACAATAAAATACAATTAATGAACAAAAAAAAAACAAACAAACATACTTTAATATCCAAAAGAACAATTGTACCACCACGTTTATTTTGATATTCCATAAATTTATTTGCATGTTCACATTCTTCTTCAGCCATTTTTTTGAAAAATTTATGATGACCTAGAAAAAAAGCAAACAAAAATTATGAATTGTTTCAAATAAAATTAAAATTTTACCATTCAAAGCAACATCAGCTCGATCAAAATGATGTGTCATTGCTGTATAAACGTAACTTGCATATAATTCTAAATTAATTTGTCGATTAATTAAACCTTCATTATCTTCATGATAATTACTATAAAATAAAAACAATACGAATAGAATAATATTTTTTTTTTTTTTTTGTAAAATGAAAAATAAATTCATACAATCGAACAAGATTTTCTCGTGGTTGATTGGTTGCTACTGGAGCTTTTTGACGATCTGGGTGACCACTTTGTTGTTGAGTATCATTTTTATGTTCCATTGACATGATTGAAATTGTTTTTTGTTTAATAGATATATGTATATATATATTGTTAAGAAATGACGGCGTTTACTAGACACGACTTGTAACGAACAGTCACTGCTGCTGCAAAACAAATCGACCAACTGACTAACTACTATAATCGATGTGTATCTGCGTTTATATAGAAAGAGAAGAGTAGAGAGAAAAAAGAAACGAAGGTTTTTTTCTTTCCTTCGAGTTTAGCCCTCATATAGCCTGCATGCTCGACTCTTAGAAAGAGAGAGAGAGAAGACCCGTGATTACGTGTCGATTCTACGCAGTTAATAAACTCAGAATAGAACGAAAGAGAAAAAAAAACGATAGTCTAGCAAAGAACGAGAGAACGAATCAAGTAACACAATGTTTAATGTGGAGTCTTCTACAACATTACAATGAAGTGACGAAGTAAAAAAGAATAAAGTACAAGAAAAGATATCAAGCATTGACCTTTTCTCATAGTGCAAATGATATATAGAGACAAAAGAATAATATTGATTGATAGATGGATAGATAGATAGATATTAGTAATAAGAAACATTTGGATTTGTCTATGAACGAGTTCATTTCATTGAAGTTTATAATCGAATGTTCTAGATGTATTTATTAGTTCTTAGTTTGATATAACAAAATTTAAAATATTTTTTCTAAAAATTTCTTAGTTTAGAAATATAATGAAGATTTTTTCTTATCATGTTTCGGTTCATTTAAAGTTTATTGAGTTATATTTTCGAGTTCATGAAAGAGTAATTGTATCATTGATATTTTTATATTTAAATTTCATAAAAGTTTTTATTTTAATAAATAAACAAATTAAACTTTCATCCATTAAACAATTTATGATATATATATATCAACAATAATGATTGCAAATTTATACTAAATGTTTTTACGAATTGCAAATAATTATTTTCAGTTTTATTAAAAAAATTATTGTTTTGTAAGACTATATCTTTTGAATTTTATCAAGAAAGTTTTATTTTGAATATTGCAAAGCAATAAAATTCTTCATCGAAAGAAATTTCTATAATTGATAAGGATGTAAACTGCTAATATTTGCACACTTGTATTTGTTTAACACTTCAATCATTTGATATCAGCTCAAACAATATATCTATATTATTTGTTAGCATTGTTATAAATTACGTAGTATATATCGAAAAAATACTTTTCAATTTCTAGAACCTTCCTTTAGATAAATATTCTTATTCAAATAAAACATTGGTTTTTTATGCATTATTAATATAGAAATCGAAAAAAATGAACTCACATGATCCGTCATTAGAAAAAAAAATAATCCAATAGCATTAATCTTTGTTTGTCGTAAATTTCTTTTACGTGTAACTTTTTAACGATAGATTTGATAATTTGAAGAACATTGAATATTTTATTGCCTATACAAAAATAAAAGTTTGAACTTAGCAATGATATATATATTTATTGTTTTTTTTTGAATTATGATTCTGAAATATCGATCAATGCTGCGAAATATACCTAAATACCATTCTTTGATATGGTATTTTACGGTTATGTCGTCTTTTCATATGTAGTGATAACCCACGTCTAATTACCCCGTACCCGATAATTGCATGGGCAGAATTGCGTCATTCAAAGGTGAAAAACAAAAACAATTATCGAACTCGATCTAAAACAGTCAGGTTTACAGTGAGATAGTCTTTATTAGAATTCTCAAAAATGATGATTTTATATTTCGTCAAGTTTTATGAACTGTCAGAGAGAAACATATTACTTTAAAGAGATTTTGAAAAAATATGTACATGAAATATTTGTATAATGGGTAATATCAATATCAATTTATAGGTTCACCTGTATTTTTATCATAGCTTTGATGTATACAACCGTCTGCAGCCCAGTACGATACATGAACAAACCGTACTGTCCTGTAATTCTCCAGACAGTAATACGGCACTGTATATGAAACTGTATTTTTACTGAACATGGTCGTATATGATCTGTTTACGTATCGTAAATGAACCATAAACGCCCATATACGGATCATATCGTTCAACTTAGGTGATGAATTGAGATTATTCGTCCATGAAAATATATATGAAGTTTGAACGTTCTGGAAGAGCTTCACAATCAAAAGAGTGAACGAAAGAACAAATTGACAATTATAATCAATATGATATCACTGTATTTTTTCATATTTGTCACAACAATCTAAACTTACTCGTGTTCTAAAGGAAGAAAATATTTAAAAAAATTCAAACAAGGTCTATAAGTTATATCGAATTTTCACTTGATTGATATGGAAAGTCTAAGAAATATAAACAGTTTTCATGATACATGGAAAAAAGATCTAGATCTGTTGCTCACATAAATAGGTCTTCGTCATATGTAATTCTAGAGTCATCTAATACAGATCACTAAAAACTTAAGATTTATGATATTCTCTATGATCACATCAATAGCGACATGAAACATCGATCGCATATGGCGATCGGTACTGTGCAGTCAGAAATTATAAAGTTTCGCGACGCAAAAACTATTTTTACTCGTATTCTTTGCATACACCATTCGACTAAGAAGAGCAAACATTCGTTGCTACATTATACAGCCTAAATTCACATGTACTCGTCCATCAAGTTCATATTTCTTGGCATGTGTATATTTTCAAAATATCTTTTTTATCATCCCGATGAACGACTATAATAAAAAGTCGTAATGTTTAAATAGTGAAGTGTCCTTCGACCTTCGAAGAGATAGGAACTATCCATATTTTCATAATAGATTGTATTAAATGCAGAAAATCTTTCATACGGATAGTGTTTACTTGCGAATAGTACTAATTGTGTTTTCATAGCTATCATTTTAGATGAATGTGATAAAATTGATTGTTACGGTTATACTTCTATAGCAGAAGATTTCTCTATAAGGTTCATACGCTCAGAGATATTAGAAGACATAGATCTTCTTTTATAAGTATCAGAGAGTTTACTCGAGAGAAAAACGACCAACATCAATAAATATCAGAAGTGCAATCATGAGATCATCGAGAATACGAAACACTTGATAAAAAAAACATTTCTTTTCTTTTTTGCATCCAATGCATGGATGTTCGAAATCACCAATCCGATAATTTCAAAGTCTAATACTCTTTCTTTCAAAAGTTAGTCAATACCGACTTTTTATCACTATCATATACTTATGAGAAAAAAAAAATCAATAGAAACCACTCTATGAAAGTTGTATTTGTTTTAGTCTCAACGAATCATTCAAATTTTTTATAAATTATACTACAAGATAGAGAATTAAAAACTGAACAAAATAAGCTATTTGAATATAATGCGGTGTTGACCGATTCAAATTTTATAAAGCCATCTTGGATCTCAGAATCGGAGAGCTTCAAACTGAACGTTTTATTGTCTACAAAATGGTAAAAACAATAAACAGTATATTCGGGACGAAACAAGGTTCACATTTCTCTATCAGATAATGATTCTTCTTTAGAAAAAGAAAACATTTTAAGCAGTTTTCATTGCCTTGACACAATTTTAAAGTAAAACGGTGAACGACATTTGCAATCAGTGTCAAAAACTACATTAAGTCAAACAAATTTTAAAGAATTTTTTTCCTCCGAACAATTCACCTGTAGTCTCCGAGAGTTGATTTTATTAAAGTTTTGCCCGCGGTTTTCCGGTGATCAGTTTTCCTCAGGAAAAGTTTCTTTAAAATTTGTTTGACTCAATGTAGTTTTTGACATTGATTCCAAATGTCGCACACAATTTTACTTTAAAATTGTGTCAAAGTAATGAAAACCACTAAAAATCTTTTCTTTGTCTATTGACAAATGATCAAAAATCCATTATCTAAGAGAGAGAGATGTGAATTCCGTTTCGTCCCAAACGTACAGTTTATTTTTTTACCATTTTGTAGACAATAAAAAGTTCAGTTTGAAGCTCTCCACTTCTGAATCCCGACAAGCGATAAATAGTTATCAGATGAACTTTTTGGACCGATCAAAAGAGCCATTTTCCATACATGTTGGCCTTATAAAACTTGGGTTGGCCAAAATAGTATTATATTGAAATCGCTTATTTTGTACAGTTTTAATTCTCTATCTTTTAATATAATCAATAAAAAAAAATCGAATGATTGGTTGCGACGAAAACAAGCACAAGTTCCACAGGATAATTTTTATTGTTTTTTTCTATCATAAGCATATGATAGTGATAAAAATTCGGTATTGACTAACTTTGAAAAGAAAGGATATTGATTGTACGCTAAAATTTTCGAATTGATGGTTTCAGACATCAATGCATTAAATGCACAAATGAATAGAAATTTTTTATTTATTTCTCTCAAATTTACAGTCAATTCACACGTAATAAAAGAGCAAAACATCTATTCCACGAACAAATACCCGATGAATAACTATCAATTATCTGGAGATAAAAAGAATAACCCAATTCTGACGATCGATAAAAACTACAATCAAATACATAATTGAATTGTATACTTTTTGAAAATCTTATCCATGCATTTTTTTTCATTTGTTGTGAAAAGAACATCAACAAGAAGAACAACAACAAAAAAAAAATAACAATAATAATAAAAATCAATTTATATGACTGTTTACTATAATCTTGATCAGCATAGTTGTTATTCAAACATAATATCAAAACATGAATGTCACAATTTGTATTAATTACATAAAAATTACCAAAAAAAAATAAATCTTTACTTATAAATAAATTACGTAGAGACACTAGATGGAATTATATAATATATTGTTATAACAATAATAGCTAACCATGCCCATAAAAGTACACCAAAAACCCAAAATTTATTTTGAAAAAATGATTGATTAACAAACTGTATTGGTCGACGAAATTTTACTTGTGCTTGACGTCGTGCATTATAAACTAATAATGCTGGTATAACATATTGTACAGCAACACCAGCATATGAACCAGTAAAACCAACAAGAAAATTAATATTTTCTACTAGTATACTAATTGTACAAGGTAATAAAAGAACAAATATAACAAGTATAAAACGTTGTTTTCGTTGAATATTTACACATGACTTTAAAATAGTTTCAAGATTATTTCTTAATGTTATACCAATTATTGGAAAACTTGAACTTAATGTAAATACAGGAAATAATGATATAAAATAAGCTAATGGTCTAGGTACATCAACATTTGAATGAATACAACGTGTTGTTGGACGAAAATTTAATGTATAAAGATCTTCAAATGTATTAAATGTAAATACAGCTGTTAAAGATAATAATAAATAAAATAATGCTATACATATATAATCATATGCAAATAAAGATTTAAGTTTATCTTTTGAACGTATTGGTGCTATTATACTTGGAATTGAATGATGACACATCTTAAATAATTGAGATAAAGAAAATAAAACAAAAAAAAAATAATGAAAAGATACATACAAAACTGTATACACAAATACCAAAAAGTCGTGGAAGACTACCAAAATTAAATATAGGTGGACGAACTGGATCTTGATGTTCACCACTTGCTCGTTTGGCAAGATGAATAATACATAGAATAATCATGGAGAGAAAAGCTAAAAATAATAATTAATAAAATTGACATTTTGAATATAAATCTTTATCTGTGCAAAAATCAAAAACTGCACTAGTTAGAACATTGACATATGTATTCTAGCCATTCAAATTCTAAGGAAGGCTTTAGAATATCCTAGAACAATCGAAGTCTTATTGTTAATGCCATTCAGTGCCTTTTTTTCATTGCTAAGGAACTCTAGGAAAGGATTCTGACGTCTGTTATTTTCGATTGCTATAAAAACGAACCCAATGATTGTTGACCTTTCTCTTTTCTATCCATTGCTATGAGGAGGAAGTTGCATACTCTCGACTTAAAATTTACACTCACTATATTTTTCTTCGAAAAACAAATGATGTGAATTCCACAATAAATAGTTTACGAATAGGATCTGACATAGATCGCAACGACAATGGATCTCTTATACTTTCGTTTGCTGTCATTTTCTCTAGAGTCTAACAAATTTATATCCTTATAAGAAAGAAAAAACTTTTTTTTTACAAATGATGCTGAGGAAAGTGTATGAAAAACTATTGAGTTGAAGAATTTTTTTTTGGTAGTTTGATACGAAAGAAGAAAATCAAGTATGTAATTGAAATTATTAATTACCTGACCAACGACATAGAGTTGTAACCAACTGAAGAAGTTTTGTCTTTTGTGCATTACCAAAAACGAATATACCCAATGTACAAAAAAATACAGCCTATATATTTACAGTAAGAAATATTATCTTCATCATTTTTCTCTTCATTATCTTACCACAAATATTTGATAAACATTATGTCGTGTTAGTGAAGAATTTGCCCAACATAAATTATGCATCGTGATATTTGTACAATTAGCTGGTTCATATGTACTGAAATATAAATAAGATAATTTTGTTTTAAAAACAAAACCTATTGATTTAGATCAACAAACCAAATAACATCACGAATTGATTTCGGTACAGCTGAACCATAAATTGCCAAATCTCCGAAGAGATACAATGATATGCAAACATAAAATATCACTAAACCCACTACAATAAAATTCAACAATTAAAATAAATCAATAAATGAAATATACTTACACTTATTTAAGAACATTTCTGCCATTTCACCCTAAAGTATTTTTAAAAAAATAGAAACTATTCTTTATTTAAAATAATTTATAGTCAAAAATATTTTGCAATTGTTCAAAAATAAAAAGATTTCCTTATCAAAACCTAATTTATCAAAATATTTCTCGATTATAATGAGAAAATCATTCTATTCAAATACACATACACGGAATGATACTTCTCTATCGGATGAGCAAAAACATCTACAATTGAATTTGTTTTGCATTTGTTTTTGTACAAACGAAAGGTACCCATAAAGACTGCGAACATTCTAGGTTACTCTTTTTGTGGACACGAACACCTATGGTTACTATAATTAAACATAAATATCAAGGTAACTATCGTTATCTTTTACAATTAGAACCGAGATAACCATGGGTCTCCGTATAGTCTGTAGTTTTCTACGCGTACCGAAAAGTAACCCTTGTCTATCTTGATATTTAATTGTAAATCATCTCCTATAACCAAAAACCAAAATAGCCATAGCTGCCCATTAGGAAGCTGCTGGCTCACTTTTTTGTGGATCCAAATCCAGGTCGGAGTTTTTTTTTCACTAGTATCTGACACCCTCTGTGTACATGAACAAATGAAGGATCAAGGTTTTAGTTATTTATTGGCTACACTCAAAACTAAAACTAACACACAGTGATTTCTTGCTGTCCACTTTTCCATTACTTGATGCTTAATAAATTAAAAGTTTTCGCTTATTTGAAAAGAACATTATATTAATACAAATTGTCAAACCAACAGTAACACCAAAGTCTCCAGTTATATGAAATAGTTTTAGTTGTATTTATGTAAACAAGATCAAGCAAGTAGAAAGCTACGAGTTCACGTTTTTATGGACCCGGACATGAGTGTGGAAGAACATGCAGCTGTCTAGTGTTCTTATGATATTTGTTTCGAGCTTTATCCTTTTTTTTGCAACTTTGGCAGTATTCGCAGTTTTTGTAGATATCCATAAAAAAATGATAAAACCTTGATTTGTTTTTACAAAAGATACATCATTGAATTACCTATAAAAGCTCTAGGAAAAATTCGTTTGACTTGTTCTGATGAGTTTTAAGAAAAACTAAAATGAGAGATTTATGATCAATTATTACTTCATATCTTTTGTACACAGATACGAGAAGAACTTGATTTTTTTTCTTAAAAAAAGTGTATACAACAAGTTGTTATTTTCTCACTTTTTTCAATGCAATCAGAGTCGTCGTCAAATGACTAATTATTTTTTGCTTAGTTTTTGTTCTTACTAGCAATTTTTGAACACTAAAAGCATCACTTTGTCTTTATTAATGAGTATTAACTTGATGTCAATAGTAAACTTGTCTTTTCAAGATCGTTCAATCTATTAGTTATTATAGTGCACGAACACATCATATTATACGGAAGTTAACTGAGCTTTCTTTAGAATGAAATCAAGTTTTTATGGTGTCGTTGTGCAGAAAGATATTATTATAAACACTTTTTGTTACTTCCAATTTCATTGAAAGTAGCAATTTTTCTAAAAATTCAGTAGAACAAATCAAAAGAATTTTTTTTGACAGTAAATATTAATAATTCAACGGCGTATCTTATATTAAAGAAAAAACAAATTTATTTGTTGGTACGGAGATATATGTAAAATAAACTTTGTTGTAAACATTTATAGAACATCCGGTATTAGTTTAATTTATTGATATTAAACATTCGAAATTCTATTTAAATCGTATCTTTCATAGGAAGAAACTCTGAAACATTTGATAATTTTCGAGAGTTTATCATAGAGTATAAAATATTTGATCTTTTAAATTTCACATAGAACAATCGTCCATGCTTTTCACTTTCGAGTGTAAAAAAAACCACATATTCCTATCTCATTCTATCTGTAATCTATCGCAAAAAAAAACCGTCACTATTTTAAATTTTCAAACATTCCAAACTACATCGTTCTTTTACTTGTTTTATTCTAATTAAATAAATATTAAATTTTTTCTTAATTCTAAAACGACAATGAACATCACACATTCTCACACTGACCATTTCAACTTTTTCGACAATATCAAAATCGTGGCGTATTTGGGTTTCTGTTGAAACATATATATCTATATCTAATATAAAACATTAATCAATCATAATATCAATATAAAATATTTACCATCGTTATTAATCGCTCTAGGTAACAATGATGCTTGATCTGATTCATCAACATTTTCTTCTTCATCACTTGTTGTTGATGCAATCGTATTAAGACACTAAATTAAAAATTTATACCATCATATCGAAATAAAATAATCAATTTAAATATACTCGAGTTGCTGTTTTTCTTCTCATAAAATTTGCAATAGCCATTGCTTCAATCATATACGTCGCTGTTATATAACTACAAAACAAAATCTCATCAAATTATAGAATTTTTTTTGAAAAATTTTTTACCTGAAAACTCCAAGTATTATCAATAACAAACTACTTAATACATAACCACCTTCATGAAAACCTTTCGGAAGTGCTAATGCACCAGTGCCAACAATAATATTAAAAATATAAATCATACCAGTCTAAAAAAAAAAAAATATCAATATGTATAATTGTTTAAACAAAGAAAAAAAACTACTCAACTTACCCTTTGCGAAAATGTTGCCTCAACAGTTTTCGTTTGAGTTGAACCTCTTGATGGAAGCATTTTTTTTTCTATTTTCTAGAGTTAAATAAAAAGAAACCTTCTATTTAAGAAAGAACCGAAAAAGACATTAGTATTAGCACCGAGTGTAACACAAAAAACAAAAAGAAAAAGGCATATACAAAAAAAAAAATCAATATGGAAAAAACTGTTTATAATTATCGTCGAATAAAGATTACAGTTAGAAGACCTAAACAAAAAAAAAAAAGATCAAAACTATACTTATCAAAATAAATTAATGTAAAATAATTTACCAAGAATATAACTAGCGACGACCTTGAAATTAGTTGTCATATGTAAATAAGATGGTAAATATATTTTTGAACTACTTTCATCATCAGATATCGTTGGTAAAATAAGTATTAAAGTACATATAGTACTTAAAATAATTAAAAATAAAACAACTAATGGATCTTCTAAAGGAAAAAGAAAATCATCATTAAAAATTATTTTGTTTTAGTCATTTACGTATTTCTTGTTGTGAAATTTTTGTTGTTATTGTTCTTATTCGACTTGATGAATTATTAATTTTATCATCAAAATTTTGTTCTAATGGTTTATAAGATAATAACGTACATGTTATATCTCGTTTCCCTATAAGATCTTGTGGTTTTCGACGATCAAAATATTGTATACGAATTTTATGTATAACATTTTGATTTGATGATGTATCAAGAAGACGTACAATTCTAATAATGAAAATTTAAAGATAAATAATTTTATCTAATCTTTTTTTCTTTTACATATCAACTGAATGTTGTGGATAAATTTCTCCTTGTGGTTCTGCAATAGAATATGTTCGTGAAGCTGTGCATAACACTAACAACAGCAACAAAAAAAAAAAATAAAAACAAAGATAACGTTTTTATTATTTGATAACAGACAAAAAAAACATCATAATAACCTTTGTAACAAACGGAAAACTCGTATGGGTTATACAGTGTTAGTACTTGAGAAAATGTGGTGGAATCATCTAAGAATTAGAAAAAATAAATAAATTTATAAACGATACTTATTATCTTACCAAGATAAAAAATAAGAGAGTTTGATGAACAGAAAAAAGGTAATTGAGAAACATTTTTAGTCGAATGTGTTAATACGGACATTAACACATCGGCAATATATAATTAAAAATGACGAAGAAAACAGCACATGGATCTAATATTGGAATATATAGAGTATATGCCAGGTTATGAATCATTAAAAGCAGCTGACTATCACAGAATGCAAAAAAAAAA